TCTATACTTATATTATAATAAGTTTATGAGGAAAAAAAACAATCATAATATTATTATACAGACCTAGTTGCGTACATCATAATCAAGAGGAACAGAGGGGAAGGATCTGGGAAAGGGGAGTGGTGAAGGGAATACTGTTCTTAAACAACTACAGGGTCCACTGTTGTCTATGCAGGCTCTACTGTTTTGTCCTTTTTCAAGTTTCCATTAGTGCTATAGCTACTAGAACAATAATATAATAACAATTAACGATAATGGTACCTGGAATATTATTATCATATTATCAATATTTATGTATTATTAAACTATCTATTATCAAAATACCTTCAGGCGTCATCTCTGGCTCAGAGGTTGACGTGAAATGACACAACCATTGTTCACGTTCACTAACAGCTCTCGTGCATTTGATCCATTTTAGCCCAGTCCGTACTTTGATGATGTTTATGGTCCACATACATAGTTCATTCGTGCCACCCCTAAGCCCCTGTGCCCCAAATCTTGCCTTCGAGCGTTTCCTTCACAATAGTCCGGTGGAGTTTATATGACCATGGTATTGTATCGTCTCTGTTTCCTTTTGTAGAACACTTTTTATCTTGTATTAAATGTAGAACACCTTTTATTTTGTATTTAAATAATCGAACACACCTCAGTTTTATATGACCATGGTATTGTATTGTTCTCTGTTTCATTTTGTAGAACACCTTTTATCTTACGTTAAAAGAATCTAACACACCCCAGTTTTATATGACCATGGTATTAAATCATTCTCTGTCTCATGTTGTAGAACACCTTTTATCTTGTATTAAAATAATCTAACACACGTCAGTTTTATAAGACCATGGTATTGTATTGTTCTCTGTTTCATTTTGTAGAACACCTTTTATCTTACGTTAAAAGAATCTAACACACCTCTTTGTTTGTTTGTCTTTTTTTTCTTTCTAATAATTCTGGCTATGCTGTAGTAGTAGCACACCTCGGACGTAGATATTTTTTTCTTTCTTGTCTTGTTCTTTTTGGTCTTTGTTAAAGTCCGGGTTTTGGGTTCAGATAATAAGGACTCAGCATCTTAATTGGAACATACCGAAGATGTAACATTCCACCCATATCTGCCTTCAAGGTAGACCATAACTACCTCGAGCAAAGGTATTATAACATTATATCCGAAAACTATATCTGCACTTTTGCACACAAAATAAAATTTGCAGGAAAAAGATTGGACTCTTTCATTCTTTTAACAAAAGTGCTACATTATGCATTATTTCTGACTTTTTTCGATATTAATAAAATATGTCTTGAGCATAAGCAAATTTGTAATAACAAAAAAACAAAGCTTTTTCTCAACATTTAGAATTTGAATTTCGACAAAATATGTCATGTCTTGAGCATACGCAACCTATACACCAGCGGTCAAAAACTGCACTTAAAAAAACCCAAACTAAAACAACAGCAACAACAAACAACTACATTTTTGGATTGGTATTACTGGAGGCAATACGATAACGTTCAAGCTGCTTCTTAGCTACATCGAACTGGGCTACCTCTGGTCTGTTTGCTCAAACGTGTCTTAAATAACGCTGAAGGAGGCACGTTGGCATAACTCAATCTCAGAACTACAAAGTTCCACCTGATCAATACCTAGTTTTGAGAAATTTGCCCTAATAATTTTTGAGTTAACAAAATGATGTCACGCTTTTTTGAGTGCAATTTTTTGAATATCTAGATAACTACTCCGAATATTCTTACGCTTTTGATACAGTACATAGAGAATATTTTAATTTGCATCCTCACCTCATGGTCTTAGTTACTCATAACGGCCAAAAAAATGTCAGATAAAACGTTATAATTCTGAGGTAGCGATAGAGTAACTGACCTATTTCAAACAAAGTAACACTTTGTTTTCCAGGGGGGTAAGCAGCAGCAGCGCTCTGAAGTATGCGCACGCCTTTGTTTGCTCGTGTGTGTGTGTGTGTGTGTGTGTGTGTGTGTGTGTGTGTGTGTGTGTGAGTGTGTTTATGTGCATACGCGGGT